CATATTTCCGATATAAACAAATAAAAACAAAAAAAATTTCTAGACGAAATAAAAATAAATGAAGTTTATTGGTTTAAAAATCGGTTAAACGACAATTTTCTGAAGTAAAAAAATATTTTATATAAACTATTTGGTATATTAAAAAATACAATTGAATTTTCTGGACTACAAAAATTTAAACGGTATTTAAAAATGTAGACTCCTGGATAAAATAATGATTTTTTGCGCTCTACGTAAAGTTAGACCTTGAACAACTAAGTTGAAATTTTTATTAAGTAAATATTTTTATTTTTTAAATATTTATAAGCATTGATTTGCAGTAAAAGAAATTTAATTAAACACTCAAACAAGAAGTTTAACTGATATAAATCGATATATTTGGCAATTTGATTTTCTTATTTAATAATAAAGGAAAATATATGTATTTGTAATATTTTTATATTTATCAAGTATAATTTCATAAATTAAACCCATATAAATCAATATACTTGGTTAATATATTTGTTTTCTTTCTTTCTTAAAAAAAAATGTATAAAATATATCCCTAATATTTTCCAATTTTTTATGTACCTATACATTAAACCCATTAAATTTTTAGTAAATTTCAACCGAAAAACCTAGTATTTTATTTCTCCCAGTGCATTTGTGAGGCTGCTGTCCCGGGTATGCCTGGTTTCGTTTATTGCCCTGCGTCTATTGAAGATTAATTTCATTTACACAACTTCATCGCCTTTTGCCGCTTGCCTTGAGTTCGACTTTAGCTTCAGCCATCGGCTGCGGCGTGGCTTAACACTTTGTTGCCCGCCTGGTTGCGTTTTGAAGTTAATAAAGTCATAAATTGTCTTACCGGGGGCAGGTCGCTCTTCCCTCTTGCCCGATTTTCTGTTCCAGCTCTCTAATGCACCAAAAAAAAAACCATACAACAACAGTTGGGGCCACGGCGGCGCAAATCGTTACGTGTCCATGTGTTTTTATGACTTCTTTTGTGAATGCCCACCGATTGGCTCCTTTAATGTTTAATTTCTTAATGTTTTTAATGCTGAATGGCTGTGTGACGGTGGTCCATATAGCATAGCAGCATATGTTGCGGATTAGAAACGGAGCTCTGAAGTGAGGCCTAGCACGAAGTAGGTTCGTGTTTTATCTACAAACTCCTACAAATTCATCACCTTTATGATTGAATTTAACTGAGAAGTCGCACCTAAATGTGACAGGGTTTGGGGTATTTTAAAAGGGGATTTCTTTAAACTATCTGAGAACTGGGAAGATCATAAAATCAAGAGGCTTATGATGGGGTTTTATGGATTTTAAATACCAATTTGAATAATCAAGTTATCAATTTCTTATGAAGCAAAAAAGGAAACTATCTACCGAAAACAGTAACTTATATGCTTTTGAATTAATAAATTGAATTACCGGATCGAACAATAACTAAGCTTCAATTATTCCCACTCTTGAATCAATATTTTTATATGACTATTTTATATTGAAAAATCATAGCTTAAAAACTCATAACTCAGTCAAAAAAGCATTAATTTTAATTCGGTAAGCATTGCTATGCTAGTTTTTACTAGGTTTATAAATCTTCATACTGAATTAAGAATTGAAAAAATTCAAATTTTTATAAATTTTTTCCACAATTTTAACCCTTAAAAAAATTTAGAATAATTAAAAAAAAAAATTCTGCCTGAACTAGCTAGATCGACTCAGCTGTTGATGCTGATCAAGAATATATATGATTTAGAGGGTCGGAAATGACTCCTTCACTGTTTTATAAGCTTCTGACTAAAGTTATAATACCATATTTTTACGCCAATTTTTGCTAAAAATCAAATTTAAAAAAATTCATAACGAAGCCAAAAAAACGTTAATTTTAATTTGGAAAGCTGACCCGTGCTAGTTTTTATCACGTTAACAAATCTGCGTACTCAAAGAAAAATGTTTGTAAATGGAAATGACTGCAATTATAATCCCATTCTTTGAGTAGGTATTTTTTATATTTGTATGCCAATTTTTCCTAAAAATCAAATTGAAGAAAAGCCGTAACTAAGCCAAAAATGCATTGATTTCAATTCGGGAAGCGTTCCTTTGCTAGTTTTTATAAGGTTAATAAAACTGCATACTCAATTTGAATATTTACAAAATTTAAATTTTTGAACATTTTTTTTCTTGACAATTTAATAAAAAATGGGTAAAAAAATTTAACAAAAATTTTACAGCTTTTTTTTTTTGTCGGAGATGGTTAGATCGACTCGGCTTTTGATGCTGATCAAGAATATATATGATTTATAGGGTCGGAAAGGACTCCATCATATCATTACAAGCTTTTGATTAAAATTATAGTACCTTGTAAGGGTATCAAAAAAATTAACAAAATTATATATCATTTCATGGGTAATTATTTATAAAGTCATCATATTAATTTCTAACCTAAGGATTTAAACACTTTTGGCACAGTTCTTATTATTAATCTATTATTTAAAAAAAAAAAAACATCCCTAAAACAAATGTTTTTAAAACTTTCTTATGTTGAATTCCCATAATGATAGTTTAAAATAAGTTTTAAGCACTTTTTGACACAGTTTGTTATATAAAACAATTACTATTAAAATTTATATATTCATTTTAATGTCAAATATTGATAAATCCATATCCAACCCAAATACAAATTTCTTTCCCCCGAAGTATATTTCCAATCAATATTACAAAATTATAACTTTATAGATTCACACCTTATAAAGTACCTTTATCACGTGTCCCTCGAACGTGCCTGACAAACTTAAATACAATTACTAAGTAGAACGCAAAAGACCTTTCACAATTAAGCTTATTTAAATTACTAGAAAGATAAGGCCAGTCGTAGTAAACCTCAATTATATGTAAATAGCCCCAAGGAAAGATGTCATTGTGGAACCCCCATCAGAGCTCCCTTATCCCTTATCGCTGAGCAAATATAGCTCTGCTCCAATCAAGACCGATTCAAATTCCGATTCCCCAGGTGAGAATAAAACACCGGTCCTCGAATCCATTTAGCAAATAACAAATTTGTCGTTGGAACAAACCCAAGCCCAAGTCGAGCTCTATATTGGCACAGCTGCTACCTCCACGAGGATGAGACGCAGTCGTCTTTTTATAAATATATAATGATGACAGACATATATGTTATATCGGATCGGTTTTTGGATCGAAGCGGAACAGAAAGCGGCGTTATGCAAAAAAAGAATAATAAGGAAAAAAGGTGCAACACATTTTCCTGCCACACACAAGAGCACCTCTTTGTGTGTGTGTTTTCCTGCTATGCAAACACGATAGTGTTGTGTGTCCACATAAAGGAGGAACCTAACGGCTATATGGAGGTGGCACTGCTGGTTGGTGTTGCATGTGCCGGAATTCGCCTTCCTGTTCACCTCAAAATGGGTTGCAAGGTTCTCCGGCACCGGCAACACACACACACACAGTGCGTCCCTCTGTTCAAATACACCTTGCGGACGTCATAAAAATAAAGCCTCATCTGCCTGGAATATAATAAATAGGATATATACATATATAGATATAATATTGTGTAGAAAATAAAAAGAAGTACTTAAAATTACTATTTAATTATGTTTAAAATATATGCCATAATTAAATAAAATGTGCAAAAAAATATTTGAATTTTTATTACAATTTCAATTACTAATTCTAATAAAGGTAAGATTAAATTAAACTTAATTTAAAGAATATAATTAAATAGGATATATACACATGTAGATATGATATTGTGTAGGAAATAAAAAGTTCTTTAAATCACTATTTTTTATGTATTTAATATATGTCATATATAATTAATATGTGTAAAAGAATATTGAAATTTTTATAACAATTTAAATTACATTACTAATTCTAGCAAATTATTTTCAAATAAAATATTGCTAAATATTTTTAAGGACATTACTGAATGATATTGTGTGGAAAATAAAAAGAAGCACTTAAAATTACTATGTAATTTATGTATTTAATATATGTCATAAACAATTAAAATGTGTAAAAAAATATTTAAATTTTTATTAAAATTCTAGTTACTAATTCTAAATCTGATAAAATACCCAGCAAATTTGTATTTAAACTAGATTAATGATATCATTTTTAAGGATGTTATTGAATGATATATATATTTATATATTTTCTATAATATTCTTCGATCTCTAAAACCCTCAAATAAATTATGAAAATTTCACCGTAAAAATATATAAATACATTTTCCCTAAGTGCACTCAAGTGGCAACTTTAGGGTGGTTTCTTCTTCTTATTTTCCACCGATCACTGGCAAAGGATCCACTCAAACAAAGGTGTAGGGAGAACTTTTCCTGCTTCGCTACCTGTCAAGTTTACGCCTGACAGCGTTTTGATATTTTCCTCAGCTCGGCAGCTGTTCCTGCGAGTCCTTGAAAAAAGGGATATGAACACGCCCGTGTTGAGGTTGCAACATGTAGCAAGTACCACTATATATGTATAGATATATAGATGTAGTTGAGAGGGTGCATTGCGATAGGGGTGGCTAGCTTTGCACCTCCGACAGGTGGTGATCCTGCGGATGGGCCCACTCTAAATTTGTATAAACATTAGGCACTTATCAAAACTGTTATCTGTTTATAGAAAGTACAGTAACCAAGGGTTTTAATGTTAAATAAAAGGATGTTCAATAGGTCCTTAAATTTATACAGGAATCTTTGTTATTGGTCCTTGAATTCGTATAAAGATCTTAACTTAAAGTAGTTGAAGCATAACTTTAAAAAAGAATTTAAATTAAATGTAATTTTTCCCATTTTGTACAATTATATTGTATTATTTTAGTATTGTTTATTATTCATTATGAAAATATAAGAGGTTAAAGCCTTGCTCTCTAGATATTGGTATTACTTATGTTAAATTTCAAACAAAACTTTAGTAATAATGAATATTCGTACGATTTTTGGTAGAATTTATACGATTTTATATATAAATATCAATATTTGTTTACATGTTATTAAAGATATATTAAACTTTTATAGATTTCAAAGGTATACCACGAAAAATAAATTGAAATATGTTCAGGATAATGTCAACAGCTCCTTCCTGAACCACTTGCCAAGGCAATCCTTAAGCTCTACTATATTTCCGAATGATAATAACTCAGTGCAATCACTATATCCGTGGCCATAACTAAGGATCAGGATAAAGGTTTAATAACAACTGATAATTAACACTAAAAACTCATAATCTCACTAACATGCAATATAAATAAATGCATGTGTCATAGCTTTCCAATTTTTTTCATTTTTGGCTGCCATCTTTAAATGTCCAATCATATCTAAAATGAGTCCAGAAAGATGCATCACCAGATGAAGGGGGATAAGTTTTGGATGTTCCTTCAAGAATTATAATATTAAAAATTTAGATATCATATAATTTTTTTTACCAGATGCAAATTCTCTTACCCGATGAACTGCTGTTATTAGAATTGCCGCGGAAAATATATTCCATATCGCGGCAAACACCCAAAGTACCAAGAAATCACCACAAATTTGACAAACTGGATAGAATAACCAGACCCAGAGCAGAACTTCAATAATTAATGTCGAATAGGCTATAATAAGTGCGGCTGTTCGCAAACTAAAACAGCAGCACTTTTTTAACAAAGTCATTTCGATTTGGGAAATATAATTTTACTTTAAATATAGTTCTTTGTAGACAATTTTTTTTAGCAACTTTTGACAAAATTAGGAAAGCGAACTGAAGTCCGTGAAAGTATAATAAAAGTTGTTTTAAATTTGAATAAAACTACTGAAGTTTCGAAAGGAACTCATGAAATTGTAAATAGTTACTTATCAATAAAGAACTAATAGGAATCTAATAACACTTATTAGTTAGGTATAAGTTAAGAACCAATAGAGATCTATGTATAGTTCATAGTTAGGATAAGGATTCTAATAATACTTATTAGTTAGGTATAAGTTAAGAACCAATAGAGATCTATGTATAGTTCATAGTTAGGATAAGGAATCTAATAATACTTATTAGTTAGCTATATGCTATAAACCAGTAGAGTTCTATAAATACTAAATAGTTTTCTATACATAAATACCCCTTATACATATATACTTTCTACTTTAAACTAATTCACTTTATTTCAAACTCGACCCAGAACTTGAATATACTTTCAATGCACTCTCAAAATAACACCAATCAAAGACCAGTTCCCCTTTACCTCAATGCATTTATAATCAAACCACAAATTACATGGAAATAAATGCTAAACCCTTAATACTTTTGAGGAGTATAAGGGGTAAGGTTCTTCGGCACGATCCTCGGTCATGTCGCCAGCTAGATATACGTGAGGGAGCAGATAGAGTTTTGGGTATCGGCTTCAATTGAAGTTCAATGAAATGTGTCGCCGCGTGCGCATTGATTTTATTGCCAGCACTTAAACATAATGAGCCGAACCGATAGCATCACGTTTCCTATATAACCAATGCCTCCATATGCTTCCTGTCCCGCCGGATATTCCTTTTGAGTGCCTTCCCCCAACTCCATGCTGTCTGCAGCAGTGCAGCTCGACAAAAGTTCAAAGTGCACAGAGTACAGAGTAATGATCCATTGAAATTCTCATATGCAGCCGGAACAAAAGGATACACCAGACACATGTACCACCTGTTTCCTTGGGCTTTTGTTTGGGGGTTTCCCTTTTGAAGCGAAAAGGAAGTTCATTGAACTCAATTGGTTGCAATTAAAATCAGAACAAGGAGCACAAGGATAGAGGGTATTTTTTTGGGTCTTTATAATAGGGAATAATTATCATTTATTCAGCTTTTAAATCATAATCTCTTGCTTCGAAGATTCCCCCTCCTAAGTGATGTACTTCAAGTAAGCTTCATAGAGCATATTGGAGCGATTATAGCGTTTATCCTCCTCCATGACCTGCAGCACATCCCTGATGGTCACATGCTTGAAACGTGGCAACATGGCCACACCCGGTGGGGCACGTAATCCAATAGGTATTGGTGCGGCATTCGGTGTGGCAGAATGGTTAGTTACTGGTGTCTTAGTCGCAGGACGTTTACGAGAACCAAATGCCAACATGGCTATATTATCCGCCGAGGCTTTAATACCACGAATATTGGGTTTCTGCTCTTGATTACCCTTCGATTCCTTTGGCTCTTTCTTCACCTCAACCTTAACCTCTTTCTTGATCTCCTTCTCTTTGCGTTCCCTGCATCGCCTGCGTTCCCTGCGCTCATCCAATTCGGCCAAAGTGCGATAGAATCCTTCATCATCCTCCGACGATCCATAGTCAGCCAATTCCATATCATTCAGAAATGTCATTGTGGTACGCACATCGTTCTTCAGCACATATCGTTTGTTCATATAGAGTCTGTAGCCACAACGATGTTCGCACAATTCGATGACCTTTTGAACAATCATCTTCATGTAGGTCTCCAAAGCATCCAGGAAGCCATCCACAAGAGACTCATGACCATGTATGCTAATCTTGTCAGACTTTGCTCCCTCCACCAGAGCCATTTGCTTGGTCAGCTTTTTCCCTATGACACAGCGATCGAAGTAGGAAGTCCTTGTTCCCGCTTCCGTGGGCTTCGGTTGCAGGAGATCCTTGATGATGAGCAGCTGACCAGCATAGGGTTGAATGGGTACCTCAAAGGCAGTAAGAGTTGAAGACATCTTTTTCTTTTGGATACAATTTAAAGGGAGAAGAAATTTTCCAGTTGTAGATCTCTAGGCAATTAGAATTGAAATCAATTCGAAAGGTTTTTACTAGAAAGTCAAAGCCTTCTGGATTACGATTAAGAGTTTTATTTTGGAGTTCGTTTACATGAAACTTTTGTGAAAAATATATTTTTTAGATCATAATTCAGTTGCTATTATGTTTTATTTAATTATAACATTTGAAGATACCTCCATTTTTTAAGATGTTTTAAATTTCTTTTACATATTAGTTTTTAAGCAATTTAAGCCACCTTCCTTCTTAGAGATTTCCGAAAACCCCTTAACTTGCAACTCTAAAATTCCCCCACATCCCTTAGTTGTTGCCACCCAGCCAGGTGCTAGTGGCCAGTGGCTGCCACGAGCCGGTGGCAACACCTCAACTGCAACATATGCCGGCATGCCCCGCTTCAGTGCATCCACCCCTTCAGGACAAGGTTGACCGCATCATTTTCCGACACATAGAAAAATATATATGGTAATAAAAACAAAAATATAGTAAAAAAAAAATAATATAGTTATTTTATGGGTAAAAAATTCTAAATATAAGAGAGAATCATAGGGGAACCTTATTTTTACTAAAATTGAAATCTAAAAATAAGTAAGGTATATAAATAAAATGGTTTTAGAGACAAATTAAAGGTACATTTCTGGTTATAAAGTTATAATGTTTATAAGTCTACTTTAATTCATTTAATTAATTAATATGAAATGATCTTAAATCTCAATAAATAATCCCTGAATATGAAATATATTATTTATTATTTTACATTTTTAAAGCAAAAATACATATTTTATTAAATATGTTAGATACCTATTTATAGTTAAAATCAATACTTTTTAGGCTACTTATAGACACAATTTTAAATGAATTTTAATGCCAATCGATTTATAAAACTTCTGAATATTAAAAATATATAAAAACAAATTTTCTTATACTAAATTTCAAATCTAAAACCACTTTATAATATGAATTCAATATTTTAGGTTCCCTATAAAAAGTAAATACTATTTTTAAAAGTTGTGTCTCGGACTTTTAGAACCATTTTTTATTCAAATCCTCTTCTATATAATTTTCTACATAAATTCATCAAATTAAATAACAATACGGACTAATTTTTCTCACTGCATGGCATGGCCCACTAACTCGACCCAAACTAAGCACTTGTTCCTCTCCAATGACCAGCAACAGGAGGCGAGGGAGAAGGTTATAAAAAAAGGACTAAAAGCAGGCACAGGACATGTTATGCAAAGTGCACAGGAATGTGCAAGTGGGCCTTCTCGGGCGACTGGCGACGATGGGCACGAGCTCCTAATTATTCAAATAGAAACCCCTAGACATACTATTATAACCAAATAACCATAGACTTTTAAGTCGGGGTGAGCGGATATTATTAAAAACAACGACGCGAGACAGTCGCCTTCTCCTGTCTCCTGTCTCGTGTCTGGAGTCCCGCACATTTCCGTGCACCACTGAACTCTTGGCACTGGCCCAAAAGATCATCATCACCATCAACAGACGGACGACAGACACATCATGAGGGTGTGCTTGGGTGCATATTAAAATTCGGGTTACCTGAGTTACCTGGCCCAGGAGCAAAGACCAAAGACAGTGACGACGGATAGGCGCGTGGTGTTTTGATGGCTAGAAATTTATTAGAAATTCCAGGCGGAGTCCCTTTGTCGGCCAACTCCCGAACAGGTTCATTACGCGTGCCGGCGACACTCTGCGGCCAGAGACCCTCAGGATCAGGCTTTTGACCTAATTACCTGTTTATTTTTTTTAGTTTATTTTTAGACCTTATAGGGGTGGCTTTATGCTTATTTCTAATGCTACTGCTGCGGGTGGTTTGTTGGTGTCACCAGAGTTTAATTGCAAGTGCAAGGTGCAAGTTTGGTATTCAAAATATTTAAGGAAATTTGCCTAAAGTAACTATAATTTATATGGTAGAGTACTTTAAACTACAGTTTATAGAGTCAACATTAAGAAACTGTACTTTTAAATTAGGTATTGTTTTTTACTTTAAAGTTATGTATTTAATAACCCGTTGTAATATTTTATTTATTGTTTTATATATTTTATTATATTTATATATTGTTTTAATACATCCCCAATAATATGAAAAATTTAGGAAAAAAAATATATGTCAAATATATATAAATTGCCTAATTAAATAATTGCCTTCTTTGTTTAATACATCCATTAATAAAATATAAGGTTAGAAAAAGAATGTTATTATGTATATAGTCGATGGGAATGGCAATTAGTACTATATAATTTACATAAGTTAGTTATAGTATTATAAAAGTAAATAAAATAAAATAAGATTAACAAGAAATGAAGGTAAATAAAACAAAATAAATTATAAATAATAGGAAAGAAAGGATAACCCATAATAAAACAAAATGAAAATAACAAGAAACGAAGAGGTCTTCCGGAAGCCGAAGTTCGTATACTCTTGCAATTAGCTCAATAAGTCAAAATTTAAATGTATCATAACATAAAGCTTTCCTATGTTAGTTTTTATGATGTTAACAAACCTGCATACTCAATTTTTAATTTTAAAAAATTTAATTTTTTGACAATTTTTTAACCAATTTAAAATACAATTTTAGCTCATAAAATGTTGAAAAAAATTAAAAAATTTTTTTGTTTGCCTGAGATAGCTAGATCGATTCTGCTGTTGATGCTGATCAAGAATATATATGATTTTTAGGGTCGGAAATGATTCCTTCAATGAGTTTTAAGCTTCTGTTTAAAATTATAATACCCTGTAAGGGTATACAAATTAAATAAAATATATAAAAACAATTTAACGGTTTTTAATATCTATAGATATTTTTAACAAAATATTATGTAAGTAAATAAAACCTTAAAACACTATATTTCAAATATAACAATTATTCCCTCGATTATATAAATAGTTAAAAGAGTTCTTGAAATATTTCTTCACATATTTCTTCATTCTTTTACAACGTACTATAACTTTTTTTTATTTTCTAGTCAAATAACTCGTCTATATGCCACAAAGCAATGCCTGAAAATGCAGATTCCAAGCTCCGTTTTGGCTTGCATAATCCACACATGGTCGTGGAAAGAAAAGAAAAAATAGAAAAAGACAAGCCGCCTGCCATTTCCGAGGAGCAGAGCCCGTAAACTAAGCTAACAATTCAACTAAAATGCCAGCCAGATAATAAAACTCAAATCGATTGAAGAAGTGGAAGCATTGGCCTCTCGGATGGAAAGATGGAAAAATGGAAATACAAAACTAAACCAAAAAAAAACAGAAAGAAAATGCGAACATGAGGCACCAGGAGTTTGGGTGAAAGACTTGCAGACCGGGGCAGGGCATTCAAACGACCACCCACACATCCAGGAGATGGAGTTCAGACTCGGAATCGGAATCGAAGCTTGGGAGATGGAGATGGAGCTGGGAGCCAAGAGCTGGGAGTTGGATGCAGAGCATCCTCACCGCCTGCGCAGTGTCAAATAGGCAACAAAAATAAAAGTTAATAAACAGGAAAAAATTATATTAAAATATATATGGAAATATATTTTAAAATATATATTAAAATATTTTAAATATATATATATGAATATATATATTTATATTATTAACTACTGAAAGTATCCCTTCCTTTTTGGATGAAAAATCAGGTAGTAAAATGCATCGTATATATTTTTAAGTTGCTGTTCCTTTAGAAAATTATATAAATATATATTAAAATATGTATTAAAATATATATTAATATTGAAAAATATTAATTTTGGTATTCATGAAATATTTGTTATTTATATTATTAACTACTGAAAGTATCCCTTCCTTTTCATATGAAAAATCAGGTAACAAAATACATCTTATATATTTTTTAAGTCTTTAACAACCTTTTTCTTTATAAAATGATATAATAGAGTCTTAATAATTTGAATTTAGTAATTAAATTAAATAAATAAATATTAAACAAGCATCTAAACAAGTAAAAAACATCAAATTTCATCAAAATTCTTCATAAATTTTTCTCAGTACCCAAGTTGCGTGGCGCGCAGGCGTAGCCTCCTCCTCAGGACCCGGACAGATGCTGTTGAGCCAAAACGCCGACTCCAAGATGGAGGCATATTCCAGCGAATAAATATTATCATATGGAAATTTTGCACTGCTCTGTGGAGCAATTACGAATGCAGCCAAAAAAAAAAAAACTAAACAAAAAAAAAACGCTGCGGCAAGTGACCTGGGAGACGTCAATCCCAGGCACAGGAAATCGAAGTCGCAACTCGACGGTTTTGACGATGATGTAGCACCACCATCCAGCTTTTATGCACTGCACACCATCATGGGTCTTAGCTTTAAGATATCCCTCTACCCCCCTCAGTTCTCTCACCTTCCTCTCTTTTAGCCAACATTTCGACCATGTTCATAGAGATCAAACAGCGTGTCGCGCAGTCGTAGAAAGTTTGAATGGAATGGTACTATAAAAACTTGCTTAAGATGAACTTCAGAATTAGAGAAATCGTTTATAGAATGTTCTGAAAATGACTACAAAAATTTTTAAATGTTTATGGAATGTTCTAAAAATTACACAAACATTTTTAATATAAAGAAAAACTGCCGAAAGCTTTAAGAAAAAATTTTCTACAAATAACTACAAATATTTTCACACAAAATAAAACTGTGGAAAGCAATTAGGAAAGATTTAAAGTTATTTTGTAGGTTAAAAATAAGAAATTAGGAAATAAAAAAATTAGAAAATGGTAAAAATGGTTTACAAAAAATAGTTTTAACGTACAAATTATTTAAAAATTAAAATATATATTTATTTTGGCAACAAACTCAGCTATTTTTAATGCCAGACTTAATGTCTATATATTATTTATAAATAACAAATTAACAAAACAAAAAAAATCAAGTGTAATGAAAAGGTTAAAAATATATATGAAATTATATTAATTACTTTTTAAATATATTGAATATGTTATATTATTCAGACATCTAAATCAAAAATCATGACTTAGACACTAATTTCATTGTTATATAA